AAAAAAAAAAAAAAAAAAAAAAAAAAGAAAAGAAAGGTCAGCCTAGGCCGGATCATTTTGAGTTAGGTACACCAGGATAAGAAGGTCAGATTTTATTCTAAGTGAACTGTGGAGCCACTGGAAAGTTTTGTGCAGGAAGTGGTCTGATCTGCTTTATGTCTTAGAAGATCACTCTAGCTACTGTTTTAACGATGGTGGCTTAGATTAAGGTAATGGAGGTGAAGAGAAGTTTAGACATTTGAGATATATTTTGGATGAATAATAGCTATTGGTGATACTCTGAATGCGGGGGTGGGGGGGCGGCGTAGGGAACAAAAAACGAATCAAGGAGAATCTTCAATTTCTGGTGTTACCAGCTAGGTAGATATTTAGGTTCCATTTACAAAGATGAGAAAGACCAGAGGAAGAGTAATTGGGGGGGGGGTGATTTGGAGGAAGAGAGGAAGCAGTCTACATTTACCATATACCAAATTTAAGATGTCCATTGTTTATTTATTCAACAAGTATTTATTGTGTATCTATCAACCCCTTCTCTGGGCTTTAGGAATATCAGATTAACAAAAGACAAAATTCCTTGCCCTTTTGGAGTTTATATTCTAGTGGATGATTCAAAAAATTGAAAATAAGGTATATGATGTATAGATGGTGGTAAGTGCTGGGGTAGGATATGTAACAAACAGTGTGGTTACATCTGGGAAGGTTTCATTGACAAAGGGATACCTCCAGGTCTCCTTGAAGCTGTAAGAGGGTGAGCCATGCAGATATCTGCTGGAAGAGCCTCGTGGGCATCCAACTGGAAATGTCAAGTAGAGAGTTGGATGTCTGAGTCTAAATTCTAATTAGAGGTTAGAGTTGAAGGAATAGGTTTGGGGGTCTTGTGCACAGAGATGATATTTCAAAGGTGGGGGGGACCAGATGACATCACCAAGAAAGAGTATATAGGTAGTGGAGGGAAGGAGCTCCTGCAGCCATCCAGTATCTGAGGACTGAGAAGAAGAGGAGACAGCAGGAGAAACTAAGAAGCAGCAGCCCTGAAGCAGGAGGAAAAACAGTACACGTGGTATCAGAGAAACCGAAAGAGACATTTGAAAGGAGAAGACGTTGGATATTGCTAAGAATTCAAAAAAGATATGAATAGATGCAGTCACTGGGTTTGGTAACATGGAGCTAGCTCATTGACAACCTTGACAAGAGCAGTGTCCGTGGAGAGATGCAGAAAGCCATGAGACTAGTTGAGAGACTGTGAAAGTAAAAGAGGGGAGAGTTGTTAAGAGTGAAGTGCTTGAGAAGGGCTTGCAGATCACAGTGAAGGGTTTGGTGTTTGAAACTTCTTCCATAGTAGTATGAGGGAGGGCAGAGAGTTTGGGTACAGATGCAGATAGGTTGGTAGGTTTGACAATGGGGAGAGAAGGGAGTTCCTCTCTGACTGCTTCTACTTTTCTCAGTGATGTAAGTCCATTCACTCAGTATTGGAGAAGTTTGGAGGCCAGGTTTAAAATGGGAGGAGATGGTGTGAAATAGCTGTTTAAGTAAACGCCTGACATACTCAACCTGCAAGAGTTTCCTCTCAGGGAATGACCCAGTGTGATTTTTATCCCTCAGCCAAGAGGCTAGAGTCCTATCAGGAAGCTGCCTCTGAAGATGAAGATTCTGCTGACACTCCCAGTGGCTCCCTCAGCAATATGGCGAAGCCAAGGGCCCCCAGCTGCAGGATGGTTCGCAATGGACCTTTAGGAAGTATATCCTCAAATCATCTTACTGGGAGCTGTTTTGCTCTAGCAAGTGGAGCCAGTGAAGTGCCTCATTCCAGACAGGCTGCTTTCAGTAGCCCCATTGTAAGTGTGAACGCATGACGTGAATCTTGTCTGTCCACGGTTAATAATGAAAGAACATCCTCGTAATTATAATAGAGCCAAACGCTGTTGTCTTTTCTACCTGAGAGGAGACTGCATAAGTGCAGCTCAGTGTGACTGCCACACACTCACAATGTCCTAATTTTGGAGATAATTCAGTGTTGAGAGATAGTATATCATTTCAGAAAAAACATAATGTTTCTGGTCAGGGTTGATAGCCTGGAGAAAGTAGCCTTGGTTTAAGGATCATGGCTCACTTTCAGAACCAGCAAAATTACCACAGAGGTATCTATAGACAGGTAAGTATGTCTAACTGATAGGAAAATTCAAAAGCGTGTTGGTATCCTCCAAGGCCTTTTTATCTCGTTGCAGTCTTCCCCCAGATCCACCAAATCTGTGCTCTCTTCCCCATTCCTAGTCCTGAGAAGGTCATTTTCGAATATTTCAATATCAGAACTCAACAGGGTGTGTTCTTGAGTCCTGAGGGGAAAACATAGAAGAAGGACCATATGGAAGATGGGAAAGAGGAAAAATACTCGTGTGAAAGAATTAGAAATCAAACGTTTTGCTGTACTTAAAATTCTATAAAATTTCAACTGCCTTCCACATTTCATTAACTCTTGTGTTAACCAAGATGAGGATTCCCCAGCCATGAGACTGGTAAGCAGTTGGTGACCTCTGAAATAAGTTGCATAACAAGAAAGAAACAGCTTTGGGGAAACTTTGTGTTTCTCCATTGAATTCATATAGAATTTCATAGTAGAGATATGATCTGAATAGACCCCAGGGATCTCATTCATCCTGGAAAGGCCTTGAGGGGAATCTGGCTCTTTTCAAAGTTCCACCAAATGTACAATTTCAGCAGCTAGGAAGATCATTTCACTGCAATTCATCCTGTGCATTTCTTTGGCTCTAAGGATATCATACCTGTTATATTCTATCATTGCCATATGTCAAGCTATTCCAAACATCTGGACTTAATTTTTCTCCAACTTCTGAAAAAAAAAGAGTGGGGGGAGAATGCACACCACTTCTTCTCTGTACTGATTTTCAGGCTGTATCAGAAATAGGTATTTGTTTTCTTCTATTTTATCAATTTTGCCCACTCCTCTGCTGATCTTTTATTTCTCACCCACCTGAAGTTAACCACATAGTGACGCATGTTTGGTTGGAAGTCAAGGGTATTAGCAACCAGGTGGGACTGTGCCATGGTCTCCCTCGTGGTTTCCTGATCCAGCCTCACTCTCTTCCTGGAACAAAGGACTGTTTCCTAGGTTAAAGTCATTATGGTTTTTGTACCATTTCCCTTCTAAAACTTTTTCTCCCCTCACTGCTTCCCTCTGTCTACCAGATCTGATGAAATACTTCCTTCTTTAAATATCATTTCTCCTGAAGATTTCTCGGACTGTCTTTTCTCAGCTTCTAAGTTCTGTTTACATAGTCCCTCCTGCCCTTTAGTCCCTTAGTCCTCACGGCATTGGCCTTATTTCTGCCTCTGACATAGACCTTGCTCCTTGAGAGCAAGGACTTAAGTCATCTTGAATCCTCGGCATCTAAGGTCAGTGCCTTGCATGTCCACTCTCAATAAGGTATCGTGAAGGTGGTTATATGAAACTGCTCAACAAGCTCAGTCTTCCCATTCAGTTCATGTTTTCACTTGCCCTGTACTCCAATGCCATGTGTCATGCTGATTATATAGATGCTCTGGGATTGCTGTTCTGTTTTGTGTTTTCAATACTACACCCTTACATATAGGATAAAGGGGTCTTTCTTGAATTATGAGACCATCTCTCACTCTTACTCTAGACAAGCCGATTCTATCCTTCTTGGAGACTAACGATTATTTTGAGAAAGCTATAGATCCTTTGACCTGAAAAATTAGCATCAGTAAAAACTGTGCATATGATTCTGAAAGTCCATCCATGGAGCCCAGGTTGAGAACACCAGCTTGAGAGCACACTGAGAGCTGTGATATCCAGAAGTGGAAGCTTGGAAGATGGCGGCCTTCATGGGGGAGGCAAGGTGAGAGTCAGAGAGCGAGGATCTGAGGTCAGGGTGCTGGCCAAGGTGCGCCGGCTTTGGGAGTTAGAATGTCATTGAGGACCGTAAGTCCTGGGTTCATGTGACCTATTTTAGAAATAGAAACCTTAACTTTCTAAGTCAATGTTTTTATGCTTCTTTTATCCTCTAGAAGTTTTCATTCAGCAGACATGCTATTCATTCTACCTGGAGTGTTATCCTCTTAGGTCTTTATATGGCTGTTTCCTTGTTTTTCACTGAGGTCTCAGCTCAGATGTCACCTCCTCAGTAAATCTTACCTACCACACAATCCAAAGTACATTCCATCCCTCCCACTCTTGTCTCAATCTAGAAGCAATTTACTTATATGTTTAGAGGTTAGTGCCTCCCCTACCTAGAATGTGAGCTCCACATACCCGGGATCCCATCTCTTCTGTGCACCCCGCTTTCCTTGAGGAGTGCCTGACGCCATAGATCAACAATAAATGTTTATAAAAGGAGTGAATTAATTAATGGATTCATGGAAGACAATGGCATAATACTAGACCAGGGATATAAATGAATAAAACATGCCCCCAGCCATCAGCTTTGTTCTAGGTAGAGGAAGCAGACATATAAGTAAATAAAGATAATCCTGTATTAAAGATGCAGTAATGGTAGTTAATTCAGAGTATAGTGAGGGCACAAAAAAGGGAATGTTCAACTCTACAGGGGCGAGAAGAGATCAAGAAAGGCTGCAAAAAAGAGATAAAACGTAACTTATGATTAGACTAATGAGTAGGGGGTTACACAGTAGAAAAGGAAGGAAAAGCACTTGGGGCAGACAGTGTGTAGCATGTGCAAAGGCTCAGAACCACAGAACTGGGGAGAACATCATGTGGAGGAGGAACTGTCCATGTGCAGTTATTGGCCTTTGTCTTTTTTCTTCAGGTCTGTGGTATTTAGGAATCTGAAGGAGAAGACATTTGTGTCTAAAGTGAGGGTGGCAGTGGGAAATGAAATAAAACCCTCAGGTACAGGTGGAGCTAGGGGAGGAGTGGGGCACAGTATTAGAGTTTGGTCAACTTGATCTCCCACGCAGAATATCTTTGTCCATTATTAAACCATGGACATTTTAGAATTCGCATAAACAATTAAAATGGGTCCTAATCACTCTCAATTTTAAAACAAACTTAACATTCAGTATGTAGTAAGGCTACCCAGAAGCTTTGGCAGACACTATGAGATGGCAAAGAGAAGTTTTGGCCAACATTTGCTTGTTTAATTTGGATTTATATAGGGTGAAAAAAGAAAGAAAGAAAGAAAGGAGAGGGGGGAAGGGAGGGAGAGAGGAAGAAAGAAAGGTGAATGTGAAATCTGCAACCTGGTAGGAAAGCATACTATGAATCATGGGGGTAAATCTAAAATTTCAAATAGCCAGATGTTATGTAAAATGAGGACAAAGATGTTGGACTCCCACCATGAAATAGATAAGGCTTAGTTCAATTATGGGAAGCTGTCCACACTGTGTTCTGTATTCCCTAATTAGGAGTACACATTTTCTCTGCATTAAAAAAATGTCTGGGCTGAGTTTTCCAGCTCCCGCACTTCATGTCTTCCTGGATACCTTGCTGGACACGCTGTTTCCTCTGGGACTAGGACACTTTGGTCTCCCTTGCTCAGTTCCTTCTGGAAGCTGAAGATGAGCAGGGCTCTCAGTTTCCTTCTGATCAGCATTCATAATAACTGCAGCCGAGTGGATGAAAGGCTCTTGCTGCTCCAGCCAGGAATCAGGAATCTGCCTCTGAGGTGGGAGAGCTAACTTCAGAACAATCGTCAAGAAGAGACCTCCCAGCCCCACATAATATCAAACGGCGAAAATCTCCCAGAGATCTCCATCTCAACACCAGCACCCAGCTTCACTCAACGACCAGCAAGCTACAGTGCTGGACAACCTATGCCAACCATATAGCAAAACAGGAACACAACCCCACCCACTAGCAGAGAGGCTGCCTAAAATCATAATAAGTCCACAGACACCCCAAAACACACCACCAGACGTGGACCTGCCCACTAGAGAGACAAGATCTAGCCTCATACACCACAACACAGCCACTAGTCCCCTCCACCAGGAAGCCTACACAACCCACTGAACCAACCTTAGCCACTGGAGACAGACATCAAAAACAACGGGAGCTACGAACTTGCAGCCTGCAAAAAGGTGAACCCAATCACAGTAAGATAAGCAAAATGAGAAGACAGAAAAACACACAGCAGATGAAGGAGCAGGATAAAAACCCACCAGACCTAACAAATGAAGAGGAAATAGGCAGTCTACCTGAAAAAGAGTTCAGAATAATGATAGTAAAGATGATCCAAAATCTTGGAAATAGAATGGACAAAATGCAAGAAGCAGTTAACAAGGACCTAGAAGAAATAAAGATGAAACAGACAATGATGAACAACACAATAAATGAAATGAAAAATACTCTAGATGGGATCAATAGCAGAATAAATGAGGCAGAAGAACGGATAAGTGACCTGGAAGATAAAATAGTGGAAATAACTACTGCAGAGCAGAATAAAGAAAAAAGAATGAAAAGAACTGAGGACAGTCTCAGAGACCTCTGGGACAACATTAAACGCACCAACATTCGAATTATAGGGGTTCCAGAAGAAGAAGAGAAAAAGAAAGGGACTGAGAAAATATTTGAAGAGATTATAGTTGAAAACTTCCCTAATATGGGAAAGGAAATCGTTAATCAAGTCCAGGAAGCACAGAGAGTCCCATACAGGATAAATTCAAGGAGAAATACGCCAAGACACATATTAATCAAACTGTCAAAAACTAAATACAAAGAAAGCATATTAAAAGCAGCAAGGGAAAAACAACAAATAACACACAAGGGAATCCCCATAAGGTTAACAGCTGATCTCTCAGCAGAAACTCTACAAGCCAGAAGGGAGTGGCAGGACATACTGAA